GAAAGCTCTCTCGAGCTCCTTCATTTGTGCTTTCAACTCCTCCACCTCTTGTGCAGCTTGCTGCTGAGCGGCAACCAGTACCTCGGCCTCGGTGGCTCTAAACTCAGCAAGCCGCCTAAGTTCATCACTGAGCTCTCGAATGTGCTCTTTTTGCGCCTCAATGCATGTCTGCTGCTTCACAAACTCCGCATGGATTAAATCTACTACCTCCCTAAGAGACTCCTCCCTTTTTTCTATAGCCTTTATGCTCGCTTCCTTTTCCATCATCTGAGCCTTCAGTGCTTCATTAGCCGTCTGAAGCTTCTCAGCGATGTCTAATACTTTGCCACGGTGCACGCCCACTTCATCTTCGAGAGTTTTGACCCAGTCCAGTAGGCTGGCTCCCGCTGACGTAAGCGATCCAACCATCTGCGATGAGGAAATCAGACATGGCAGTATATTCTCTAGGCACTTTAACATTTGGCAAATCTCCTCCTCTTTGAGATCAAGCATAGATGGGTGATTTTCGGTGCCATCATCTATGTCCTCGGACCAATTGCCCCCTCCCTGACTGAGCCGATCCCCAAGTGGAGGCTTTCGTTCCTCCTCAATGCCTGAGATCGAACTCATACCGAGCAGTAGCTCGGGGTAGCAGATCGAAAGTCGATGTAACAGGCGTAACAATGGCTCCATTATGCTAAGCGAAATGGTCCTCAGTGACATCCCTTGAGAGGCCTCACGAATGTTCGGGGACTCATTGCTTTGTGCATCTGCCTCCAGGACTTTCAAAGCAAACAGAGATGATGAGGGTGGCTCCTGCGGATGCTTTAAAACACCGTTCTCTTCCAGTTGCTCGCCCGTCGTAGCAGTGACCATGCCCCCACTGCACCCAACGCACCGCTGCCTCAGCCTACTCGTGTGTTCCTCGTAGCCCAAACACGTTCGCTCCAGCTCGTGCTTCTCGTGTATCAGGGTCGCGATTGGCCTGTGCGCCCTCAGGAAACAATGGCCACACCTGCAGTCGGCGGCCGGTGGGCTGGGGAAATGTGGGGATAGAGCCTCCGAAGGTGTGTTTGAGCAAGACGTGGTTGCTACATGCCCCATTGGTTTCATTCCACAGCAATCCTCTGCTTGCCTCGTTAATGCCTCATTACCATCCGGCTCCAACCAAGATGCCGCACACTTTCCCAACAACTCACCCGTGCTACAAAATTCCTCCAGTGCCCTCGATGTGCATCTACTGCCCTGTGAATCCAGACAACTCAAGCGAGAGGAGACAATCGAAGACAAGGACGCCCTCAGAGCATTGATACGTCGGAGGGCCTTCCCCCTCTGCTGCGCAAGCGTCCCAAAAGGTCGAGAAACGTCATCGGGTGCATAGCATCTCCCAAACACTCGATGAGCAGGATAAACTCCGGTGGACATTGACGAACTTAAATAACATATATGGGTGCGTTAGTACCTGTGTATTAGGGTTAAAATTACCCTATCAAGGCTTCCCTGCTCTACAGCCCCCTAATTGGAATGACCATCAATATGGTGGAAAGGGGAAAAAGAACGGATGAAAATGCGCTTAGGAGAGTGGTAATGAACACAGATATTGCGCAACAACAGCAGTACTAAAAGGAATGGCAAAATAACGTTTGACATACAGCATCGGTTTGACCACTACTAAATGCACAATTCGAAATAATAAAATATTAGCTTTCACTAAAGAAACAGGGGAGCAACATGTTAATGAGCCATTCAATTTCTCCTATTCGATAAATTCACATTCTTGGGGGGGGGGGGGGAAACCAATATAAAAAAGTAATGTTAAGCACTTCATACCTGAACCGTCTCCTGTGAATTTGGCATTACCGTGTATTTCCAGATAAACTTAGCAGCTGAGCATTCGCTCCCCAGCGCTGCTGCAATTGTATTCTGTTGTGTGGCATCAGAAGCTAACGCGACGGCAATCCCACCGCGCCCTGTTCCGGAGAGCTTCGCACCCAACGCTCCGTGTGCCATGCAGCAGGACACGATCTGTTCAAGCTCATCGCACGAAATGGTAAGCTTCCGGCAGAGGTCATGAGTAGCGGTCATCAGGGCACCAACCTCCTTCAAATCCCCAACCAGGAATGCCTCCTGTGCCTTTTTAGCGATAGCCTCGTACGCCGAAAACAGCTGATCAAAGAATGCAGGGTCCTGCTCTTTGAGCCTCTGCACATCCCGGACGACCTCCACAGTGCTCGCCGTAATACCAGTGCCCACCACCACAAGGTATAGCTCTGCTGAGAAGGGAATCGGGCTGAAAAGGGATTTACCGCTCACCCGCCGGTAGGAAATGAGCCCACCAAAGGTCGCCGCGGTGTTATCAACCCCACTCGGTGTCCCGTGGTAGCCGCACTCGCCAGCAAACGCGCTCTCGTTGATGGCATCATCGTTGAGCTTCAGATCGTACAGCTCACTGAGAGCACGGGACAGGGAAACGACATCGCTGGCGGAGGCCCCGATGCCACTGCTCGGGACCAGAGGGCCACCCAGAAAGATCCGCAGACCGTCCGTGCGCGTGTCGATCCCCAGGTGTTTCAGCACGAGCTGGTGCGCCTCCGCCTGCTCCCCGCGTTTCGCCTCAATGTACCCAGGCACAGCGGGGCGCTCGTCCACCACCTGCACACCAGCCATGCCACGCATAACCTCCAGCCGACACTCCGTGTATTCACAAATGCCAGCAACAATAGCCTCCGCACCATGGACCACGAAATGCTCGCCAAAGAGAATCACTTTGCCGTAGCCCACATGCTTTTGTTCGGTACGCTCTTTCACAGGAAGTGGCATATGCGTTGCGGTAGAGATTCAAGTGAATATAGTAAATGAGTTGAAATAGAGAAAATAAAGACACTGATGAGGTTTATCTATGTTTGTGGCAGTCGTCGAACTCAGTGTCGGATGAATTGAAAAAAGAATATATGGAAATATATATTTAGGCATGAGAACAGTCCACTTAAGGTTACCCATTGCACCCCCCAATTTGTTTCAGGTTCTTGTTATAAATCAAAAGCAGCACACGTGAATTTACAAAACCTTCACATACGGCAGGTATTGATGCAATCTCGTTTAAACACAACCACTACCCACGTTGACTTACGTGGTATAAAAAAAGGACGGACAACGCGAAGCATTTCCTTCACATAGAAGAGTCTGATAAGTCTATGGAATATTGCAAGAATGGCTGCATGTGCATGCTCGAGGCTTTTTGGACCAGCTATAATGCTCAGTACTTCATCCAGAGGTCCGTATAGTATACGCAAAGGCTAGAGTTCCTTGTGTGAACCTTTGTTATGATCTCCTCCACGGAAATTAAGTACGTAGACAAGTATTCTGTGCAAATCTCATAGCCTCAGTGATATGACTAGACCATAAATATCCATACATAAACTACTGCCAGATGCAAGTATGCACATCGCTCACTAGACAAGATGCAACCTTGGGTTGCGGTGAACCCAACTGTAGGTCCTCTTACCATCTACACCCCAGGTGATAAGTGCTTTGTACATCTTAATTCACACAACACATTCACTTAGCGAAGTACTTTTGCTGGACTATTGGGTCGTCTTGACAGCTAGCGAGGGCCAAGCAAAGAACTACAAGCAAAGAGCTCAAGAGTTTTCAGAAGATTTTCACTGCACAGACTAACAGTACACACGCGCACAACGCTAGTAGTCAGCCACAGTTTCATATTTCCAGAAATACACACGATGTATTTCTGCACACAAGGTGTCCTCCCTGCAAACGAACTAGTGGTGTCAAGAGCAACACCCGATAGACGATATTTACAAATCTATTGATCGGAAGTAAGTAACAGAGAACCAAGTGACACCCCATAACTAAGTTGTTTTTCACGGTGATGAGGATGCTATGACACAGCGAGTAGCATATGGCGATGAGAGTTGTGGCACTGACAATTCGGCTCGAAGCGAAAACAGCAGTGTCGCACTTTATGCATTATTTAAAGAGTATCTTCTCCTTGAAATAAAACCACAGATGTGGTGATAAGGAGCTAATATTGTCATTTACTTATTTATTTTGCTAATGCTATTATACCAGATTATACACAAAAAAAAGTAGGCAAACTTAAATTACTAGACACATGATCATATGAAGTCCATCACAGCTGCATGTAAGCGACAGAACAGTACATATCAATCCATACACTCTGCTTGTAATTTCTAACCTGGAATTTACTGGCGGAAGTTTTATAAAATTTTTAAATATTTCTCCTTCAAGGTGCAGCTGCACAACGAAATAAATATTTCATTATTGGAATAAACTGAACTGTTAAATAATAATTATCACTAGATTATATTGTTAATTCATAACTGATATATTAATTCTCACTAAGAATAAATCAATTATGTTAAATGGAAACGAAGTATAATTCAAGAGTATAAAAGGCTCGATAACAAAAGAGGGCTAAAAGAATTAGCCACTCAAGATATATGGAAAAAGTATCGACGGAAAATAACATAAATATACGCTTAGTATTCTCTTTTTGTTATACAAGCAAAAAGAGAATACTCTGAATGCTAAAAAAAATAGCATAACCTAAAAATCACCTAAATGTAGAATAAAGACTAGATCCTGTTGAAAAAACCAGTCCGGCAACACCTCCTAGTAGTACGAGGTAAGTACATACATAGTTGATTACACCTACGGATTTCAGGCTCCAATTCCCAGAATACATTATGAACAGTGCAGGAAGCATAAACCCAATAGAACCTCCGAGTATGCCTCCACTGAGTGCGAATACTATAGTAATGTTAGGGACGGCGATACCAAGTATAAGGGCAAGGAAAGCCAGTCCCACTGAACCAATAATGTGCTTTTTTGTAGAAGCAGCTTGTGGGTCCCAGTCAATCAAAGAAAATAGTGCGCATCGACACGTGTTATTAAGAAGCCCAAATGAAACGCATATCTTGAAAAAGATACCAACGTAACACACAAAAATCTGTGGCTCCTTAATAGGGTTGTAATGATGAAGAATTGACCCTGTTACTGCATCACCAAAATCCAAATATCCAAAAAGGCCAGTCGCAAAATACAAAAGACCACAGAAGATAAGACTGATGGATATGCATAGAGTGAATCGCTTGATGCTGCGCTTGGTCATTTCGAAATATATCTCCAGACAATTGATTTGGCACATGTATACAAAAATAAAAATACCCATCCCATCAAGTGCAGTGTTTCCTGTATTTGCCAAATTAGTATGGGCAGGTGGATCAGCCTTGAAACCGTGCATAAAATAGTGCAATATAATAACAATAATCAGGTAGAACATGAAGCTTATCCCGAAAATTGATGCGTATCGGAGGGTGTTGAACTTCCGAGGAAATGCAAAGGGGAACATAAAAACCAACCAAAAACCAATCTGCAACAATTTATGTCCAGTGGTTTTAAGAAGGAATGATGGTGTCCCGTCAATAGATTCAAGTATAGGCTTTAATAAGTCTCCTAGGGTAACGACAAAGGCAATGGTTCCACTCAATGTACTTAGCATACGTAGAATACTGACAACAATATAAGCCTTCGGATGAAGAAGAACTGACAATTCTTCGTAGGAGCGTAATTTGGTTTTTTCGGCTGTCTGAGCTAATAACCGCATTGAGTAAACAGTTTCTGCTGTGATAACAATGAGGTAAACAATAGCGATGATAATTCCAGTGCTGTTAAAAGCTGCAGGTAACCCCATGATACCAGACCCAACCGACGTTGCTGCAACGCTAAAGATAGTTGAAATCATGCCACCAGAAGGAACAATCGTGCTTAGAAGTGCAATTACTGTACTTAAAATTGAAGATGGCTTATCTGATGCGCCTTCACTCGAACTTTTCCCATCGGTCCTTTGAATATCTAATTTATTCATCTCAGTGGAATCTTTCGTCTCATTGATATCAGCTTCAAGGTGAGTCTTATACAAGGGTTTCATCTCAATATCAGAAGCCTTTTCTTGAGCACTCATATTAGTATAGCGTTTAACAAAAAAAAAAGTTATATTAATTTAAAAATTCTCCTTTTAAAGTCTGAAGATTATTTTGAAAGAAAATATTAGAGAGATGAATTCTTTGTAAGTATCAGTAACTACATCACATGTGACAGCATTTGCTATATATACTCTGGTGAACCTTTATCCTGGGGGACGATCAGGGAAAAGGCTATACGTCCTTTTTTGAAGAAAAAAAGGTGCATAAAACATCACAGAGATTACAAGATACCTTGGATAAGAACATTGAGCACCTCATGTTAAATCGAAGTTCCAGAAAATTAAGGCTACCAAAACTAGAAACAAAGCGACCCAGTAACTAACCCAATAGAACTCACACTAGTATCACTAAAGCAGCAGCAGAGTTCAGCCGTTATGAAGATGCAGGCAAAGGTTGTAAATATCGCAGATTAACCAAGCTATGCCAGTCGAGCAAGACTAGCGTTCTGATGGAGAAAAGCTAATGGTATGTCGCCCCATTGAGCCCCTTCAAGACGGGCACCCCAACCTCCCCTCAGTTAGTTTCACAATATGAAGTCCGACCCACGGCGCACCTGCCCATACCAAAGGGTCCCTGGGCGAGCCCGATGGTATCAGCAGCGGCGGGGCGAGCAACACCAACGCGCCCCATTAGCAAGAGCTGGGGGGAGAGTGACTTGACCGCGCCGCAGGGCGTTTCAATGT